ATTATTATTATTATTATTATTATTATTATTATAAAAAAGCAGCCAAAAATATATGAAACATCACGTAGCTGTACATCAGACAAAATAACTGTCAAAAAATGAAAATTACTTGGTGTCGAAAAAGGAATGGCAGCATAATAATTTTAGAAGCATGCTAAAAAAACTTTTACAATGCAGTCATGTTCTTAAGTTTTTTTTTATTATTTTTGCATATTTCATTCGGCCTCCATAACTTATGAATTTAGAATTTCCATTGAAATAATCGATCATCCTAAAATTTCCATGAATACTGACTCACTGCTAAAATGTGAGTTAAAACATTTAAGACATTGTCATGGTACCAATACCAGCAAGGTTTTGTGAGGGGAAATAACCTTTTTTTTTCCTTAGTTCTTTGCAGCAGTTCAGGCCATTGCTCACAGCCGAAAGCATTCTCTGTGGCTTTGCACTGATTTTAATCAATATGATCAGTTTGAACAGCTAGAAACATATGTAAAGGAATGAAAATTAAACGTCCAGTCTTTATCTGTGAAAAATTTAAGTATGTTGAAGTTGAACTCTTAGACATTTTTTGGTGTAATGACGCACTCTCGAGTAATCTCAAGAGAAGCTATAATAATGGGACAACACTATGAGCGGATAATATTTCGAGGGATGAGATTTCGAGCTGTTATAAATAGTACAAGAGCATTGCACGAGCATGAAGTTGATAGTTAAGCATCATCGACAACAACAACAATAACAAAAAGCTTTTATTTTACTAAGTGGGGTCAGCTAAAGGACTCATTTTTCTCTATTGAGTTTTACTGAGTATCATATTGTCATTTAATTATAATAGATTAAGATCATTTTTTATATAACAGGCCCAAATCTTTTTAGGTCTAAAGTAGAACAAAGTTGAAATTGTTGATCTTTTGGTGCAACAGTTGAAACTTAATTTATCAAAACCTCCAAAGTTAAGATTGTTCGTGTGGGAATACACCTGGGATATCATGGTTGACTTCCTCAAGAGTTACACCAACGAGACAAAATTATGACGTTATTAATGAAGCAAAGTGGAAAATATGTTGATGAATGAGAGCTCTTGTTGTTAAATTATTCACATAAAAAATAGATCATTTGAGATTGCAAATCAAGTGCACCAAACTAAATATAACTTAATTTAGAATAAAGCAAAAAAAAAAAAAAACAAAGTGAGAAAATACACATTTTCTATTTATTTTGAGATGACTGATGTAAAAATTGCTTATGCATTGCACCTATCTCAAAATAAATTTAAAATTGTTAAAGCCCTACTTAAATATTTTTATAAAGCCGAAATAAGAGATAGCCAGTCTTTATGATCCACAATGATGGCTCCTAAAAAAAAAGTCAATCTCATCTACAACCAATCACATTTTTATAAAATTTAGCTTTGATAATTGGGAGATTTACTCTGTTTGTGGCAGCTTATCCGTTGCGGCAGCATTTTGAAAACGCCGCTTCATCGTTTGGAAATTGTGTTTGAACAACTTAACAAAAAATGTAGATGATTTTTTACACTAAATGCGGAATGTTGGTCATAGCCCGCAGTCCGCGTTTCCAAATAAGCGGCTTATCTGGATAAACACTAGCTACCTCAAAAACACCCTTAATTGCATACATGCCACATGATTTTTATGTATTTAAATATCTAACATCAAAAAATTATCTTTTTATTCCTACATAATATCACAAAAATTAACTCATCTAAAGTGAATAATATCTTCTCACCCTATATTTTTTTTGATATAATTAAAAACAGTTGGAACTAAAAAGGGAAATGCTAACCCTAATATTCTTCCAATGAAGATAATAAGTATATCAGCTAATGAGATATTTATGCTGGAAACATGATAAGAGATTAATATCATAATGAAGTACAGATTATTGTGACAAATGAAAGAACTGGCCGAAGAAGAAGAAACGGAGTGCTCAGCTATAATCCTCACAGCTATTAACGTACGAAGCAAAAGTTAAATAAAGGCACTAATTACTTGATCTATTATTAGGAGATGCACAGCTCTGACCTGCAAACAGAAAGTTGGCAAACTACATCCCAAACAAAGCAGATCCTTCATTTAGATGCATGCCACCGTCATCTCTCTTTCTCTCTCTCTCTCTCCATCTCTAGCTCTCTCTCTTTCTCTCTCTCTCTATTGATCCTTTCATTGATTCATACACTGACAAGCCTGCAGCTCAATAACTTCTAAAACACCACCGGTTTCCCTAGACTACCAAATCATGCTTTCCAGCAACTAATAACACTTAACGCTCCTACAAAAGGGTTCGAGAATTGTACGATTAGGAAAAGGCTTGATAGCAATGTTTTGGATCGGATGAGTTTAATTAATAGATATTTAATGTATATATGTTGATTTTAAGTTTTAATTGACTTATCATTGTTATGTATTATCTAATGAAAAAAATTTATAGATATTTAATTCATTTTAATCATAACATTATGAGTCAAGTTTTCTTAAACTTTATTATACATCTTCATATTTTTTTTTTAATTGTAACAGATATATATATATATATAATTAAGTTGAGAAGCAAGCAAATGAGCAGTTTAAATCTTTAATTATTAAATAAGTTTATGTAAATTTGTGGTGGTTAAAATTTAATTTTTTTGCTTGAATATTAAACCACTTAGCTATTTATTTTCGTAAATTATCTCAAGTTTTAGTTAACAAATAGCTCCTCATTAAAGGACTGGATAAAATGTATGCCTCAGAATCTAATTCACTAATCACTTTTTTAATATTATTTTTTAAATTTGTTTTATTTCCTCAGATTTAAAATTCATTATTTGTATAAACAGATATACAACTAATTAAGATGAAAATTTTCATTAATAAGTGGTCTGTTGAGTTATCAAAATAAAAAAATAACACTAGTGCATTATTATTATATTTATGAACAACTATAAACATATTTGCTTTCACTAATGATAGTATAAAATAAGTATATAATATCCTCTCTCTCTCTCTCTCTATATATATATATATGACTCTAAATATTCAAATTAAATAGCATTTGAAACGCTCAAGTTATTTTGTATTTAACTATTAGATCTAAGCCATTATTTCCTTAAATCAATAATGTATTTTGTAAGATAACAATACCCAAACAAAAATCGTTATAAAACATGATAAATATCTTAAACCTAAGAAGTAAATTAATATTATTATAAGTCAATTAAAAAACTTTTGGACTCTTGTAGGGAAGTATACGTATAATCATACACATGCATGCAGCTGATGTGCTGAAGGCAAGAAAGACAAGCTTCCTCCACAGCCTCTTCGTTGCTACCGTTTTCAAGGCCATCAGCGCTTTCTTTTCTAAAAGAGAAAGAAAACCCTAACTCCAAAGCAGAAAAAAAAAAAAAAAAGGAAAAGAGAGGAATAAAAATCATTAAAAGCCAGCAAAAATAAGATATTTAAATAATTAAAGGGAAACAAACAGAATCTATCGATCAGTCACTCTCTTTGAAGATGAAAAAAAAAAAAAAAAAAAAAAAAAAAAAAAATCCATCTCCCAATCCATAAACAAATCAAACCACCAAAAACAGCATATAAATTATATATGTATGGACTCACTTGAAAGTCTGTTTTGATTAAAAGCTTGAAATATTAAATTGGAGAACTAGGGCAGAGAATTGAAGTTGTGCACATCACTCCAACCCGAAATCCCATTCCAATCACTTACAGAATTGGCGTTATTCATATCGACGTCAGTGTTGATTGTAGGAGGAGGTGGGATGGCAAATGAACCATCGAGAAACCAAGCTGTCTCTGTTTCAGAAGTCTTCCGGGTCCCATTAACGCCAGAGCTGTCACCAAAAATATCACCTTTGCTGTTCTCTGCCATTCCCAAACAGCTGGGCTCCACTACTTGGTTGTTCACGAAAGAGACAACGTTCTCCCTCTCACCTAATTCCCCTCCAAACAACAACTGCATCCTCTGCTGCTGAAGCCTCCAATGCAGGTCTTGGTTTATGCAGCTCAGAGACTCGATCGAAGAAGCTATGCTGCCGTAATTGCTGTTTCTGCTATTGTAACTGAGGCCTCCCATGGAAGTAGCTGCGTTGGCACCAAAGGAGAAGGGGAGGAAGAGATCCATCGCGGTTTGTGTGAGCGCTTTGCCGGGCTCTGGGAGGTTTAGAGGGAGCAGAGAGGAGGAGGATGAGGAAGCAGAGGAGGAGGAAGACTTTGACTTCCTATTTTTCCGGCATCCGCCGCCGACGGGAACGTTGCGCAAGGCGCCGCCTTTAGTCCAGTAACGGCGACAGCTCTTGCAAAAATGGCGAGGCTGAGTGAGGCTGTAGTTGTTATAATAACAAAATTTGGTATTCGGCGAGTCGCAGCGCGGGCATTTCAGCCCCTGTTCCGGCGGCCGCAGTCCTGCCGCAGCACCGGTTCCGCCGCCACCGCATCCAGAGCTCTTCGTCGATGATTTGGGCTCCGAAGCCATCATATGATATTCGATCTGGATATAACTCTCGCTCTGGTTGGTGGGCAGTGCGTGGAATTTGAAGGAGTGGAGGTGAACAGAGGTGGATGGCTGAGTTAAATTTCGTGGAGGATAGGGAAGTTGCCGGAGGCTAATGAATTAATGGTTTCATGCATGGGTTTTGAGAAGAAAAAAAGGGACGTTTTTTCAATTGAAGCCTGTGATTGTCATCAAGTGGTGTGGGGAGTAAGACGAGGGAAAATAAATATTAAATATGGCTCAGCGGATGGTCTGGATTTGCTGGAATGAGTTTTAAGGACTTCATGGAAACGCTAAGATGGGGGAAAGGGGAGTGATGGGGGGTGGGGGGTGATGGAGGTGGAGCAGAAGGTAAGGGATTCCTTAGCATCAAAAAGTTGAGACAGCCGCTACAATGACAAGAGGTAGGAGTGGGACTGAGGAGAGAAAGAGCTGAGACAGAAAACAAATGCACCTGAGCACTCTGACACACCTCAATCTAAATTAGTAGAGAAGGGTATGGGGGTGTGGTTCTGTTTCTTTTAATCTACCCTAACTTCATCATCATCCAGTACTGTTCGAAGCTATTCTTCATGTGCATGTAAAATCATCTACATAAATCTTACTCTGGTTAATATATTTAACTTACTGTGTTTTTCTTATGAATTTAACTTTAGACAACTAGCTAGAGTTATATTTATTCATTGTTGCAGTTGCTAAACACTGTACTAATCGTTTAAAATCAATGGCTAATATATATAATTAAGTATTAATTAAAATATCTTTGTTCTTGTTCTCTGTGTACTACTAAAATTCTTATAACACTGTATATATAGGCAGGATTTGTTGAAAATATTAAATGTCGAATATTTTAAGATGTCAGCAGTGGTTTTATTTTTTATTTTCTTGCATTTTTTTGAAGTGTGGTGATTTATTATGGCAGTTAATGCAGGTTATAGGGAGGCGCATTATTTTATAAATCTATGAATAAAAATAAATATGATGAAAAGATTAGTTGCACTAATAATAATCATAATATTAAGGAAGAATTTTTTAAAAAGTCAGATTTGCATGTGACAGATAACATCTTTGGGTGTTTATAAATACTAATATGCTTTAAAAATTGTGGATGAGTTTGTCTTCATTTTTATCTTGTGAAAAAAATATTATAACCCCCCCCCCCAAAGTTATATTCATACTCAAATAAATTTTTTTTAGAAAGGAGATATCATAACTTCAATTTTTAGAGTATGTGCATGTCTAAGCCCACATGTCGAAGTGGCCGGATCAAGCCCACTTGTTGAAGTGGTTGAACCCGAGTCTATCTACCGACGTGGCTAAACTACTCTAGTTTACCGAAGTGGTTGAATCGAGCGCATAGGTCGAAGTAGTTGAACCTGAGCCCACCTGTCGAAGAGTTGAACTCATCTCTTTTTCCCATGGGAGGAAGCCTAGCCCAACCAGAGAGGGACAGTTATTAGAGTCGGTCCTCATGACTTTCAAAAATGTATGTTTATCCATCTTTAAAAGTGACGTTTGACTTCTTCATCAAGGTCTTTCCTCAACAAAAAAACTATGATCTTCACCAGTTTGTATGTATTCATGAAGGATACAAGACTCTACATTCTAAAAGAATTTGCCTGAAAGGTGCGGTGAGCGTGGAATTCATACTTAGATTATGCAAAAAGTTCTTTTGTCATACAAGGAGATCCGAAGGAGCACAATGTATTGCATCAGATAATTTGTGATGTAGCAGATCAACAAATTAAGGGAACATGTTTTCAAAGCTGTACAGGATGTGAGAGAAACCTTCAAATCTCGTTCTCAAACTAAGCCTATAACTCCCACAGGATCTTTAAAGTCATTGGCTTACTGGCAAGATCCACTAAGGTAAGAACAACATGTGCAAAACTTGTCGAGAATCGGACCAATAAGAGCTCTTGACTCAACCCTTGAATAAGGAGGAGCAGAAAATGCTCTTGGTTACATCGAACATCCTGAGGAAGAAGAGTAAGTTGAAAAAAATGCTAAAACCCACGGCGAAACTAATGACCTAAATATACATCAAAAAATGGTTATATTTTTTGACTGCATAGTGATGATTTATGAGCTAGGTTATTTGCAACGACATAACTACAAGACATCCGTCGCTTAACCACAATAATATTTTTTGACGGGTTTTATTATTGCCGACGTACCGACGCGTGATACCGTCGGTTATATGCAAATATTAACTGATGACTATATTTCATCAATTTCTTATGAAACCGCCATTTGACGGGATGTTAACCGACGAGTTTTTTAAACAAGTGATGAGAATTTCCGTTAGTAATAATATTAATTACCGACGGCTTAAAAATCATTTCTAAGCCATTGAAACCAATCCTTTATACCGTCAAAATCATGTCCCTCCCGGTCTTGCCCTAATCCTCCCCCCAGTTGGTCCAATCTCGGTGCCCTAATCATCCCCTCTTCTGGTGACCCCCAACTTCGACAATCTAATCCTCCCCCCTCTTGGTCCAGCCCCAGTGCCCTAATCATCCCCTCTTCTAGTGACCCCAACTTCGACAATCCCACCATTCCAGCAATCGGTCGCTGCTTTCCTTCTCTCCCATCAACGCTCTGCCTCTCATAGCTCGCTGCTCAAATGTATGGTGGGGTAGTGTAAGAAATGAAGTTTATGTGTTAGAATTGTAAATACTTAGGTATTGAATGGAACGCATGCAAATTTTCTTTTTTCTTTTCATTTATTTGGCAGAATGTGTTATTTATGTTTTGAATCGAAGGATGACTAACGAAATATTTTCTTATTTTAGTAGGATTACATTAGGGATCGACTTTAGGCCCATATCTTTTTTATTTAGGGGGTTGTCTGGTAACGAATTTAGAGCGAGATTTAAGCCAAATCTTGTCAGGTGGTCATTTTGGACAACATGAAGGCGAGGATTTGATAAATTCGGATTTCATAGATTTCAGTTATAAATCTTGAATCTTAAATCCCACAAATTTGTGGATTTATGAGATTTACAGGATTTACAGCAAGAGTGATTATGATCGCTGTAGATTTATGTAAAACTTCCCAAACAATTTAAATAGATTTGTGAGATTTAGAGAAGTTTGTTGTTAGACAGTTTTTCATTCAGGACTTAGTAAATCTAGATTTACTAAATTACAATAACATAAAGAAATTTGTTACCAGACAACCCTTAGTTATGGTTGCTCTTATTAGACATTTACAGAAGGTTATATCTTGTTGTATGCTTTTCGTCTGTGATACCCTTCTCGCAGATAAGATTAGAGAAAGAGTTCTTAACAAACTTAAATTATGAAGAACGATATTAGAGTCTAAAATCCTTCTTTTGTGTAGATCTAGAACAAAATACATCAAATATAATTTTAGTATTAATAGCTCTAGTGGCAGAGTTATAACTATGGGTGATCAAATCATTAAAAGATGTGAACGTTTTATATATCTTGGGTCTCTTGTTCAAAGTTATAGTGAAATAGATGGGGATTTCACTATTAGAATTCAAGTTCGTTGGCTGAAGTGGAGGAATGCTTCCAACCTATTGTGTGATAGAAAATACCGCTTAGCCTTAAAGAAAAAAATTTATAAGATGGTTGTGAGACTTGTGATGTTCTTTGAAGCAGAATCTTGGCCTTTAAAAGAGAAGCATATAACAAAGTTAAGTGTTGCTGAGATGAGAATGCTTAGATGGATGAGTGGCTTAACTAATATAGACAAAATGCAAAATATAATCGTGATAGGGCTAGTGTAGCTAACTGTTATTTCTAATGGTTCATTTGCTATTGATAAGCTTACATTTCTTCCTTGATCATCACTAGTTGCTAAGGTTAATTTTTTGAGCTGTGATGAATTCCAGCCTTCATTAAAATTATAGGGCTAGTGTAGCTAACTGTTATTTCTAATGGTTAATTTGCTATTGCTAAGCTTACATTTCTTCCTTGATCATCACTAGTCGCTAAGGTTAATTTTTTGAGCTCTGATGAATTCCAGCCTTCATTAAAATTCAACCAGTTTTGAATATATTATTATATGTTCAAAATATAGGACAAAATTTTAAAGTTTTCCTACAGGTAAATTCTGAGCTCTAGTTAATTATCCTTCTTCTCATTGCTTGGGTGGTTTGTTTGGTGATTTTCCTTTCTTTTTTGTGGCATTTGTTGGTTTGGTTTCTCTCTGTTTCCTGTGTTTTTTTTGTTCGATTTGCTTTGAGGCTTTAGAATTTTAAAGACTTCCTTTCTTCCTCTTTGAAGGTCCTAACATTTTTTTATTTTCTCTTGTTTTTAAGATAAACCTTAAACCCAATTATTTAAATGTGATGGTTATAATATCAAAATATTTGTTTAAAAATGATTTACATACATACCACTAAAATCCTATGTATTTATATATTTAACACTAAAACTTTTCATTTTAATACAACTTTTCATGTAAATGTAAGTTTGTATGTTTGCAAAAAAAAAAACAAAGTTTAGGTGTTAGATATGTAATTACATAAGAATTGGGAGTAGAGTTTCCTTGCTATAATTAAGGCTTAAGTCCATAATTGATCCACATCGGGTCGGATCAAAATTTAGTAGGATCTATCTAGGATCTGAATTAGCACGTAGGGTAGGTTTATGAATTTAAGGCTTAGTGCTTATACAATTTGTGTTATACATGATTGGAACTTAGACAATTAAATTTTATGTTATACGTATTACGTAGGATATATATGTGATTTAGCTCGAACAACGGCAATCGCTTGAAAATTAATTTTGCATCAAATTTCTTTTAAAGTTTGGATCGAAATCAGATCGTTTAGTTATGTCGAAGGCCAATATTCACCACCCTTTCGCTGCTATGCAAAACTCCTAATCTTCCATCCAAAAAACTCCTACCTTTTTCTTTGTTTTAAAAAATTTAACTTAAATATTGCATAAACCCTGCTTAAAATCGGCTCCTAAACAACCCCTAAGTGCTAGATTAAGGGTTCAGTTGCAAGCATGGTTTAGTTTCAATATGATTTAATAAATCACGTAAATCTAGAATTATCAAATATTGAGATGGTTAAATCCTAAAAACCATTTTGTATGTAAGCACATATTTTTGGTGGTACGTAGTGTAAGACTTTGATTCTAAGTATGACTCGTACATGAAATAGATTGAAGTAAATAAGCCAAGCTACGAGCAAAAATTTTGGAACGAAATTAATTGGAGCCTGCATCATCTCTGCTCGAAGCCAGATCATTTAATATCTTTGTAATGTTAGTTCTATCAAAGTTCATTAATTGATCGAACATTGACTCACAATCCATTAAGA